GACTCCCCATCTCTTTTCTCTGCGTCTGCCGATAATCACTTGAAGCGGTCCGAAGTAATCCATGCCAACATTGACGAAGGGACGAATTCCGGGAGTCAGTCTGACGGTAGGTAACTGACCCATTCTTGGAACAGAAGGCTTGACCCTTGATTTTCTACATTTCAGACAATGAGCAAATGTAGACTTGACCGCTGCTCTTCCATCGATTATCCAGAATTTTTGCCGAATTTCATTCAGGATCATTTCTACTCCTTGATGTCGAAACTTTTCATGGTAAAACTGCAGAAGAAGTACAGTAAGCCTATTTTTCGGACTGAGAATAAATGGTTTTTTAGTATGATATTCCAAACAGGATGCTAAATTTGTTCTCCCATCTAAAATCAACATTCCTTCTTCATCCAGAACTGCACTTAATTGTTTGAGTCGACTTTTTCTATGAAGTGGCTTGCTTTCCTCTAGTCTTTGGATGTCTTCATGGAAACTTTGACGTTGGGATTCTTTAATCCAGTATTTTTCAGCTCCTTGCAATTCTAGAACTGAAAGACTTTCATAGAATTCCGATTCTGTTTGACATTTCCTGATTTTCTGAATCAACATTTTAGAAAATCTCATGATCCACGCCGTAGTCCTGATTAATCGAATCCATTTTGAGAATTTATTGATATCAAGAAGGGGATTTTTGATCTCTTACATAACAAAGATACAGGGTGATTTCTGATGATTATTCACTCGTCCTAAAGCGTCCTAAAGTATTAAACAACCCAGTAAATTTTCATCAAATTTGGTATGGAGCTTATACTTGGGACGTTAAATTCATTGACCTATCGGGCGATATGGAAATTTAGGTTCGGCTTCAAGAAAAATTTATATCTGTTCGAAATGTAAAAAAAAAAACTGTATTTGATAATCAACAAAGTTCCTCGAAAAAATCGTAAAGTAAAAGTAAAACTGAATCGGATTTGATACTTGTTTCTCCGCCACCAATCCTCGTCGTAACATGCATAAACAGAAAGTTGAAAGTATGCCAATTTGATGATTCTTAAGATGTTTGATTTCAAACGGCCTATGAATGTCTCTAGTACACCCTATTTAATTAATGGTATTGTTACGTTATTTGGGTACAGAAGCGAACACGACACTATTTATTTTCGAACTGATTTTTTTGAACTACAGAAACACTAATTTATATTGAACTTATAAGTAATACTATTTATGTAGAACGATTTATATCACGCGGTATATAACTGTCTGTCTGACACTCGCTGCTCGACTGACTGAAGATAATTGTCCGGCCGTTATATATAAGATCCCTTGGTAGGCTTTGGTTCGAGAACGTTCTCGAATGATCTTCTGTCTCCTTCTCTTTGTTTTATGTAGAAGCTTCTCAGAACAATACCATCTCTCTCTAATTGTTCCATCGATTGTTTCCAGAACATTCCAGAATCTTCTGTCACGTTATTCGTCACCGCGGCATATACTGAGTGTTCGGAAATATGCTGATGCATGTAGGAATCATTGGGAAGTTGAATAACAATCTGGGATGCGTGTTACAGGATGATCGTTGTACTCCTGTCTTCCTGCTGATGTTTCTAGAGCCCCTCTAAGGGGAATATCATTACAGTATAGTATAATGTTGTTCTGGAAGACCTTGTATACATTTAGTTATTACGCTGATGATATTGATGACTATCCTTCTGGAAGATACCTATTGTGAAAAATATCTACTTATAGCCTTAGCATAAAAGTGAATCCCTAATGAGAACTATTAATCTCTGCATCGAAGTAAATGCAAGACGTAGTTTCCTTCCAGAAAGGAAAAAACGCTAGATCATGTTCGTTGAATATTGTGAAAATGCATTAAGAGATTCATCTTTCTTGCTGTTTATCTACAATATCAGCATGTCATTGCCATTTTCAGCAACTCATTGATGTAATGAACTGATACATTTAGATGTTTTCCTTCGTGAAAAAAATAGTGTCTCTGGCGTACAGGGTCTCCACGTACAATATGTATATTGTGGCCAACGTAGCCTCGTGGTTGAAGCGTCAGTATTCTATCCACGTTGGATTTCCGGTAGGTGAATTTCGATTTCCACCACGACCACAGAAATTTTTCTGATGGCCTAAGAAAGTGTTTGGGATCACACATTAAAAGGTAAGACCCCCGTCATTTTTTGCTCGAACATGTCTCTTGAAGACTATTGAGGGTTGCTCGTAAGGGGCAACCGAATGATGGATAAGAACAATTTCAGAACAACTTTTAGAATAACATTTTGGCCCCCTACTTCACTTTTTTTACGTGAAGGACATCGACGGGGAATATTTATAGCCTACGAGCAAGCATTCGTCGGTGAGGTGTGAGTTAACGTCCCGAGTAACGTCCTCATAGGACGTTATTTCTAGGACATTGGAAGAGTACAGTTCATGTACCAATTGGGACATCCGACGGATATCCCTGAAAGAAATTCGAAGGATGATGGATATCAAGGACATTTCATGGTTGTCTAGAAGAGAAATTATATAAGATCTAAGTCGTGCCAGAATATGTACTACTCGTGACATCCGATGGATGTCCCTAAAGAAACGTTTGAAATCATATCCCAATAGAAATATGCCAAGGGCGTCCTTACGTGGACATTCCACAATATATACCACGTGAGACGTCTAAGGGATGATATTTCTAGGACATTTGAAATGATGTACCTGCTGGGACATTCCGTGGACGTCCTTGCCCGGATAGTGCATGAGATGTACGGGATAGAACGTCCCAAGGACACTCATTTTTGGTCCGGGACATTCGGACATGAATTTTACCAAATAGGGAAGTCCCTAGGACGTTGTGTACTATTAGGGAATAGATCATTACATAACCAAACTAGTTCCATACTTGTCGAATTTTACATTTTCTCTATGTTGAGAAACGTCACTCGACAAATTCTCAACTTCATCGTACATTTTTCTTATGGACATAGTAACAATCTATTCTTCCTCTTTTTCATAAACTGGCTGAATACTATAATAATACTTATAAATCACAATATTACATCTGTCAATTGACATACACAAAATCCTCTATTATGTGAAAAGGAAGAAACAGACATTCCTAACTTAAGAGAATTCGAAGAATTTGAAGAATGTGAAAAATGTGACTTGGAAAATGTTTTTTACATAATTTTAAAATTCAAATTCACAGAAATGTGACAGCTGATTTCAGGTGCACAAATGTTAGTGTCTTATATGTCCACGTACATGCAATTTTACACAAAATATATGCCACTTTATCTTTCACAATTTTATACACTGTGTCCATAAAGTCACCCCCCCCCCCCCTGGTTAACTATTGAACGGATGGGATTTTTTTCTTCAATTTTTTTTTGCTTCAATGGTAGTTTCAGTGCTACGTATTGTTTCAAAAAAAAATATGTATCCTCCAAAATGGCGCCTGGGCGCTATTATAAATGCTCGCATGTGATCTTCAAATCTCTATTGGCGTATAGAAGAGTTCTCTATCTATGAAGATATCGATAGGGATCCATTTTGAAGAGAATAACATGGTAATCAATTATTACACCTCTGCTCGATTGCCTTTCCAAATTCTGCAAAATTTTAGAAATATTTATTCAAAATGAAGAACAATGTTTATTCCACGTGACTACCATGTTATTCTCTTCAAAATGGCTTTCTATTGATATCTTCATAGATAGAGAACTTTTCTATACGCCAATAGAGATTTGAAGATCACATGCGAGCACATTAATAGCCATCTAGTCGAAAGAATTCTGGTGTGACATTTCAAACGTTATCATCCGCCATTTTGTTTTTGATGGATATTTTCGTCTGAGATTCTGAGGTTGTATAGAGAATCGAAAGACCTTTCAATCGAGGTATCTTTCGACCCCCCCACTCCATTTAAAAAAATCTTCCAAAATGGCGCCCAGGCGCCATTTTGGAGGATACATGTTTTTTTTTGGACAATATGTAGTAATGAAACTACCATTGAAGCAGGAAAAAATTGAAAAAAAAATCCCATCCGTTCTAAAGTTAACCAGGGGGGGGGGTGACTTTATGGACACAGTTTATATCGAACAACGTTGTAACCATCCTCACCAGTGCCGTAGTGTTTTCCAATGTATTTAAACTCTTCCATCAATGTAGTATTCCTGATGATGGAAATAAACATTTCCGAAAGCTTGAATAAACTTTGAAATGTATTTCTTTGACATTGCTGTTACCTCCAATATACACTGGTTTCATTCCTACTGGTCAGCAACGACTTCCCTTCCATATATATAAATATATATACAGGGTGTTGCGAAATTTGACCGTCAACGCTCGACAGGTGATAGCCCTCGTGATTTGATAATCACTGAGATTGGGACATACGGTGTCCAACTGTTCAGGTTTCAAGATACAGGGCGTTGAAGTTAAGAAATTGAAATAGTTTTTCGCAATATCTCAAGGAAAATTGAATATAATGCATTCAAATTCGGTATATGGTTTCATCTTTCGATTGTTCATCTTTTGACCAGGAAGACATTCCGAGAATTTTATCCATAGGTGTGTTACAGGGGGTTGTGATAACATATTTTCTACGCCACTGGCGAAATTTCGATTATTTCCAATTTCTCGAATTGGTTGATCAATTATGTTGAGAAAATGTATCACCTTTAACTGAGCTGAAATGAACAGTTTTCGAGATATTTGACCTGTGTCTCCCTGTATCTCGAGAACTCAACACTTGGAGACCATATGTCCCTATCTCATTGATCACGAAATCAAGAGGGCTATCACCTGTCAAGCGTTGTCGGTCGAATTTCGCAACACCCTGTATAATTGGAATGTTACATGTATAATCGATGCTTCCCTCGTTTCCAAACACATGAGGTAGATCTCGGGAAATCCGCAAAAATTTGTAGCTGAGAAGGATGTTGGATCGGCACAAAATGTAAACAATTTCTTCTCCCCTCATTTCACATGTCTAAACGTTTGAAAAACTTTTCATGGCCATCTATTTCATTGTTGCAGGTTCGAAGGTGAACCAGAACCGGTTGCTGGAGTTTCGCGCGGGTGGCGTCGTTCAACGGGGTTCAGGTCAGGTGGGCCAGGAGTTCGGCGTGCGCAGCGCCTTCCTGTGGCTCAAGGCCGACCTGCTGCCTGCCCACCTGAGGAGGGTCGGCAGAAACAGGTGCCGCTCCACCGACGTGTTCGTCTTCAAAATCATATCGGATCGGATACCGGAATCGGTGACGCTTAGCTCGAGGGTGAGTGTTTTTTTTTATATCATTTATAGTATGAACATGGTGGAATTATAATATTGTGTGCTTCGACGCATCTTCGTGAACGTCATTGCGAGTAAAAGGATTGGTCGCAGTCTGAGCTCGCAGTTATCAATTCGCCCGAGTCGCCGCCCAATCAGCACAAATTTACACATTGAAAACGTCCACTTTGGACCTTCAGGACGTTTTGAGGACGTCCATGTCTGGATGACCGACGTCTCATGGACGTTTTGGGGACATCCATTTTTGATAATCAGGATGTTTTGGAAACGACTATTTCAGGTACATATAAGGATCTCTTTGGATCCGAAAATAAACGTATTGAGGACATTCAGATTATATAATCTGAATGATCACGTCACTGTGACGTCCCAAATTGGGGATTTTTTGTCAGAGACGTCACACACCAATTTATGACGTTACTATGACGTACTTTCTATGACTTCACTCAGGAGGATAAAATAAGACGTCAGTTTCATGACGTTGCAGGGACGTCCTGTCGACGTCCATGTTTCCTAGACCATCTCTGAACCATGTATAATCACATTATCATGTGAAACCGTTAAGGGTGGGCATTTTCAGTGTGAAAAAGTTTTCAAAAAAAATTGTTCTTCCATCAATTCTACACACATAATATAGAAACATGTACGTCTTGGTGATACTATATGTATATATGCTTCTGACCTTGATAGAAGTATAACTCATTAAAACAAATCATATATATACCCAAAAGTTAAGAGAAAACTTTTTCAAATTTTGACACCCTGTATATCTCGAGAACCAATTGAGCTAAATATGTATAAATATAAATAATAATATAGGTGTAACTACATTGAAACCGTCACTTTTATGACGTTGCAGTGACGTATCTATATGACATCTAAAAATCACGTCGGTGTGACGTACCAATTTGGTGAGTTTCGTCATACAGAAAATTTTTCAATAATGTGCTACTAACATTTTTGTCGGGTGACAAATAATGCATGAATATACGTTACTCAACAAAGTGAAGCTAAATTCGCCAACATCCCTTCAATTCCTATCAAACTATTCTTGGTTTGCTCACATTTCGCCAAACAAACTACATCATTTCTGAATGTTAGCATCTTCATGGAAAGATTGAAACAGTTTTAATCTACTCCTGAAAATGCTGACATAGTTAGCAAAACACGTGTCGAGTGAATTACTAGAGTTCTAGGACACTTCTTCTGGAATGAGAATGAATACAAACACTTCCGATTCTTTTTCTAAGCCAACTTGCTAGTTACAGATTCAATTGAATCTATCTATCAATATACCCCTCGTTTTTATGCAGCAATTCAATCGAGTGACAGCCGACCTAGTATCCACCTATCTGGAAAAGCACCGCAGCGGTTGACAAAAGATCGACCTCACTCACCTAGTGTCCCAATGGCGAACGAATCCAGAAGAGACAATCTGTGGCTGTCCGTCCATTACATATACCCTAAAGATCGCCCCGAATATTTTTCTCATTCGACCAGTCAACCGCCCCTCCCCTTCACCAATAGGTCCACCTGTATAATGACTCTGAATCGGAACTGAGCATTATTTATCATGAAGTTCTTCGAGGATCCGTTATGGGGCCACTTCTTCTCATCTTATATATTGATGACCTCTGCTATCTTATGATGATTATAGAGTGTCGAGTGGTTACACATTTTGAATAGTTCGATCACTAATATTCCACTTCAACTAGATCATGCAGAAAATTTTGATGATCGAAGCAGAGGCAGACAGCACTTGATCCACTATCGACAATGATTCACTTGTACTTCGTTGGTAGTTATGATAAATTGGAATGAATAACGATGAATATAAAGATATTTCAACTACTCACATTTCAATTACCATATTGATGAGTTCTTATCAAGTCAATAGTAACCTCACACCAGACAGAACTTCGAAACCCTCACATCCAATATTTAAGTTCAACAGGTGACCTTTATGCTTATGAAATCCTCATGGTTTTAAATTACTTATATACCGAATGTTCGACTAGTCAACCACCTCCCTTTTTCACCAATATGTCCCCCTGTATAATGACTCCGGATCTGAACTGGGCAGCATTATCTATCATGGAGTTCTTAAAGGATCCGTTCTGGGGCCACTGCTTTTCATCACATATATCAATGACCTCTGCTATCTCATGATCATTATGGAGCGCAAAACGGTTCTTTTCGCGGATGGAGAAACATTTTGAATAGTTTGATCACTAATATTCCTTTTTCACTAGATCATGCAGAAACGTTGATGATCGAAGCAGAGGCAGAGAGCACTCGATGGTGAAAATGAATCAATAACAATAAATATAGAGATCTTATAATTACTAACATTTTGATGACCATTTTGACGAGTTCTTATCAGGTCATTCGTAGCCCCACACCAGACTTCGGAACCCTCACATCCAATATTTAAATACAACATTCTATTGCACGTTCCTCATAAGACTTCCTTGGTCAGAAAATATAAAAATGTTACTACCACCTTTATTTAATTTCAAATACCCCACTGGTAGCGCTGTTATACGAAGCGCGAAAACATTCGGGGATGATCCCATGGGTATGCATGTTCTGCTAATGGAATCGAGTTTTATCAATTACTCGAAAGTATTTCTGTTCATTTCAATGCAACTTGGTGGTTATATTATATTAATATCTCCGTCCAGAAACTTGTTCATCCAACGAACAGCGAGGCTCTGGAACACATTGCCAAGGATGGTGTTCCCCGAGGCATATAACCTCCAGAAATTTAAGAAGAACACCAATTCCTACCTTATTTCTCTTGGTTCCCACGATGTTCTCTGAACATTACAGGATATTCCTTCCTGTGGGGACCACAACATAAAAAAGTATTCGTGGTTGAATGTCGACGGGTAATTTGTTCAACTTTATGATTATAAAATCCTCATGGTTCGAAATTACTGGTAAAGGTGCCGAATGTTCTACTTGTGACAATTCCTCTGGAAGAGCACTGCAGCGGTTGGCAAAAGATCGACCTCACTCATCTGGTGCGCCAGTGGCTGAATGGATCCAAATGGGACAAGCTGCGGCTGTTCGTCCAATACATACTCCCAGATCACCCTGAACATTTGTTTATTTGACTAGTCAACCACCACTTCCCTTCAACAAACTATATTCACCTGTATAATAACTCTGAATCAGAACTGAGCATTATTTACAATGGAGTTCTTCAAGGATCCGTTCTTGGGCAACTGCTTTTTATCTCATATATTAATGACCTCTGCTATCTCTAGATTCCAGATGATAATGGAGTGTCAAATGGTCTTTTTAGCAGATGGAAAAACATCTTGAGTAGTTCGATCATTAATATTTCTGTTCTACTAGATCATCCTGAATCTTTGATGACCGAAGCAGAGGCAGAGAGCACTTGATCTACTATCAACAATGATGCACTTGTACTTCGTTGGTAGTGATGATCGATATGAATTGAAAACAAATGAATATAAAGATTTCATAAAAACTAACATTAAAATGGCCATATTGACGAGTCCTTATCAAGTCAATAGTAACCTCACAACAGACAGAATTTCGGAACCCTCACATCCAATATTTAAATACAAAATTCTATTGGATTTGTACGTTTCTCATGAGAGTTCCTTGGTCAGTATCCGTGGTTGAATATCAATTGGTGATTTATTTTACTTTATGTTCATAAAATCTTCATGGTTTGAGATTACTAGTATACCGAATGTTCTCCTTGTGACAAATGATCAGCCAGTCGACCACCTCATTCCTCCACCATTATGTCCACCTGTATAATGACTCTGAATCTGAACTGAGAAATATGCATCATAGAGTTCTTCAAGGATTCGTTCTGGGGCCACTGCTTCTCATCATATACATCAATGACTTCTGCTATCTCATGATGATTATGAAGTGTCAAATGGTTCTTTCCGCAGATGAAAAAAAATTCGATCACTATAATATTTCACTTCAACTAGATCATGGAGAAACTTTGATGATCGAAGCAGAGGCAGAGAGCACTTGATCAACTATCGACAATGATTCACTTGTACTTCGTTGGTAGTGATGATGAATATGACTAAATAACAATGGATATAAAGATCTTTATGGCAACTAACATTTCAATTGCCATATTGACGAGTTCTTATCAAGTCAATAGTATCTCCACACCAGACTACCTTTGGAATCCTCACATCCAATATTTAAATACAACATTCTATAAGATTTGCACGTTTCTCATGAGAGTTCCTTGGTCAGTTTTCGTGGTTGAATGTCAAGGGGTGATTTGTTTAACTCCATGTTCATGAAATCCCTATGGTTTGAATTTACTAATATACCGAATGTTCTACTCGTGACAATTGATTACTTGGAGCCGATATAAACTCGTTGAATCAATCTTCTCTTTCTTTGCAGCAATTCGATCGAGTGACAGCCGATCCAGTATCCATTCCCCTGGAAGAGCACCGCAGCGGTTGGCAAAAGATCGACCTCACTCATCTGGTGCGCCAGTGGCTGAATGAATCCAGAAGGGACAAGCTACGGCTGTTCGTCGACTGCAGCTGCTGCTCCGATTGGCGGGTGCACCTCCTCAACGACCGAAAGGAGGCGGCGGCCGGCGGGAGGGACGTTTTTGAGGACGAGAGGGAGAAAGATGGATTGAAGAGGAGGGCGAACCCGGATAGGCCCTTCCTGGTAGTGCACGTGGATCCGAAGGTGCGTTAAGGGACTTTGTGAAGAATGTTTATGGAATCCATTCTCAGATATGATAGATTCAAGTCTGTACCAGTTTCTGAGATTATTTTGTAATTTTTTTTGCAAAGACAAATAATTTCTTTATTGTCATCCTGTGAATTCAAGTTTCATAAGTTGAAAGTATACAATGTCAACCAATAATTAGTCAAATGTGATTTTGATTTATTTATTCATCATTTTTGTTCAATGTTTCAAGAATATTGGTGAAAGTTCAATGAATTCGAGACGGGTCACTAAATAGGTTGATAAGCAATTTCGAAATGTCTGTACACAGTAAAAAAACAATAACACCAGTTCACACCAGCTTACACCATTAGGTATTCCCTGAGATCCTGATTGGTTTAGTGAGAATCAACACTGATATTTTTAATACCAACATGTGGTGTAATTCGTTTTTACATACAGTCAAGAATTACACTAGAATACCTAGTGCTGATTTGATCGGTTCGCGTTAATCAACACCAAAGTGGTTTACTATACAATCATTTGGTGATTATTTTGATACTGTAACTGTTGCGGTTTCGCTTATACTGATAATATCTGATATGCGAATATATCTCGGATAATTATCTGATGTGAAAACACACTTACTGAGTGTTATAACGCAGAGAAGCGGTGCTTTCTAGTCTGCATCTGGATGTCGAATAACACGATTCTGATATACTTACATTAGTATTCAGTGTATGGAATGAACCACTGTAGTGAGACCTCACAATATTACAATTCATCTCTGAGCTGATACTATTTGATGGCTGTCGAGAGATGAGCGTCGAAGGAACGGTAGTGTCGCCATCTTTTGAGATATTTACTCAATATTTTTCTGTGCACATAATTTATACTATGATATTCAATTTCATGTTTCAATCTGGTTCGATATGAGTACTCTATAGCTGTGCAATCTCTAAATTATCATATATAAGTGATAAATCAACTTAAAATTCATTTATTGCATTATTTTCACGAAATCATTCGTTCTTATTGTCACCTATTAATCTCGATACCAGAATCTGTGGAAGATAATAAACCTAACCAACACGATTTTCATCTATCCTTCAATGAGTTTAGGTTTATCAGCAAGATTATTTATTCACATGGAAAACTGCAAGACGACGAGTAAATTATTTTAGCACCAAATCTTATGATTCATACACGGTTGTGATTTATTAGTGATCAGTCAGGGTGTAACTGAGTGTTAATTTCATATAATAGTTGTATTTTTTGCGTTAACTTGAGTAATCCATCTATCAAAAGTAATTACTTTTCATCCTCTTGTTGTTTCTCTTGAATGGATATTTCAGAACCTCTCCGAACTACCACATTCAATTTTTCACTATGAAGGTGTGAGTTGACACCACTGTACACGGTATTATCAAACTTCTGATGATATTGATATCATATTGCTAATGTTGTTGTTGTTGTTGTTGTTGTTGTTGTTGTTGTTGTTGATTCAATCGGAGTTATTTCTGAAATCCACTCGATTGGAATTACACTCGAAAATTGTTCACATCTCACATCATAAAAAGTTGAATGTATCAAAGTTGAACATGTGTATTATTGAATTCACTAGGATGTAACGGTGCTGAATCCTTACAAAAAATGTTCGAAATGATGACCATTGCTACTCAATCTGATGAACTTCCTCAAATTCATTTGGGGTGAGTCAGGACACTTTTCATTGAACTTCCGGCATGTTCTGCTAACATTCTCGAAACATAGAGAAAAAATGATAAATAATTTCATCAAAAGTCATAGATGACAATGAAGGAATTATTCAGTTCTCTATCAGAATGAAGTTCATCTAGCCTACTATCTGAATCACATCCTGATAATAGAGATGTATAGAAATTTAACTGGTGCGCTTGCTCCCTATTGAAGGTCGTTTGCAAGTTTCTCGATGGCGCCTACTCTGATAAACCTTTGATAAACATACTTGACGTAAGTAAATCTCGCTAAGCTCATCCTGGTTACGATCCATATTTACAGGAAACATATTACCGACCGATAAATATTTGGATACGTATATGATTTGGATCAGAGCAGTGAACTGATTCCGGATCAAAGGATCGAAACGTCAATATGTCAAAAATATTCTTGAGCTGAAAAAATGGTTATTTCTGAGATTGGGGTCAACTGTTCCTTAGGGACGTGTTCCGTAGTTTCAAAATTTTGTGGATAATACCTAATCCACCATAGAAAAAAGAAAATCTCTGTTCTACAACAGTATTATTTCAGTGATTTGAAATATTAGCGTGTACTGGTGTGAATAAATTCTAGGGTGAGTACCAGTTACCATATCTGCCTATTATGATTTTCGATATTGGTTTATTTCAATAGTTGATACATTCTCTGTTCTGGTTCTTCAAAGAGGAAATAAATCAGATTTCATGCTTTAAATAGGTTCATGTCATGAAAGAAGTGAAGCTCATCAAAATCGGCTACAAAAAAGATTTCTTGCTTCTATTTCAAATTGAAATTTGAATGAAAATGTTGAGCACAGTATTCATTCGACCACAGAACAATGATGGAAATAGATTCATCCCTCACAGAACCAAGGTTTTGAATGATATTCCGATTATGGCGCCTCTATCGCAAATACCTGAACCCCACGTCCAAAACTCGCTTGCAATTGTTCCATATCGAGAGTTAGTCTGACAAAACAATTGAAGAGTGAGCCCACCAGTTAAATTTCTATACATCTCTCTGATAATACTCAACTGATCATAACTAACAAACTGTACGAGAAACAGTTGAATGGTAAGATCATGTAATGCAATAACATTTTGTTTCTTGAGAAATAGGGAAGATAATAAAGTGAATCCAAAACATGAACGTGGTAACTAAAAGGCTGAAATGCACTTTCAATTTCGAGTTGATAACGTAACTGTTACACCTCAAAGAATATTACAAATTTCATGAAATATATGAAAAAAGTTCTCATGGGGATACAGTTAGCACACAAATGTCCTTTCATTCAAAACGAAGAAAGTCCAAATCGGACATGTACTTTCTTGGGGAAGTGTAGTAATTAACGCGTTAGCGTTTATAGAATTGTGACCATAATCTGATAGTGACTAAGAATTTTCCGGATCAAAATCTGGAACACTCTGAATATTTTTATGTTTCTGGTTGCAGGTGACGAAACGGGTTCGTAAGAGAGCGATAGATTGTAACAGCGAAACGGGGAACCAGTGCTGCAAACAAAGGTTCTACGTCAGCTTCAGGGACCTGGGATGGGACGATTGGGTTATCGCTCCCCAAGGGTGAGTATCATTTCAAACAGAAATCGATAGGGAATTCCAAAATGTCATTATAAAATATGGAAGAAAGATCATTTCCATAAAAAAGGCCCTCCTGTTGATACTCGACAGGACGCACACCGTTTTCGAGTGATAACGACAATAGTTATTATCTTAACAAGTACTTTCCGCAAGAGTTATTCACAATGTATCTCCTACAAGTGTTTTTGTCTATTATGTTCATGAAAAAAAATAAGTTTTTAATATATGATAGATCTTATAATAATGCTACAAAATTACACATAACACATTGCTCATTTAGTTATAATAATAATAATAATCGTCTTTATTTGTTCACCAAGAATTAACATCGAAAATATAAACATATGTAATATATAAATATGTGGATATAAGTATATGCCAATCAGTGAACAAATGAGGTGAAGTTTAGCTAAAGCTATTCTACCACTTTACCTCAAACAAAAATAAACTAAATACTAAGACACTAAAAATTACAATTTTTCATTATTAGGATATAGTATAATATGCAATAATTTTGCTATATGTCTACAAAACAAAGTTCAGATTTTCTAATGCTTCATCGATGCCTAACTAATGCATTTATCAATCAGATTTTCCAACCAGCATGATGTAACTCGACACCCAATCAATTTGTATGATTCTGCATATTCAATAAATATTTTTTAACTTTATGCTTGAATTGATTCATATTCAATATTTTCAGATGATCCGGGAGTTCATTGTATTGTTTCGGTGCACAGTAGCTGAAACTTTTTTGAAAGATTGTGGAACGATGTTTAGGAATGTCTAAAGTATGACGAGAACGAATGCTGATGTTATGAAGGTTTCGTCTATAACTAAGTTGTTTTCTTACATAACTGGGCTCAGATGTTACTAAGATTTTGTTAATAAATTGTAACAGATGTAATGACCTTCTATTATTCATGTTGAGCCAGCTGAGTTCTTTGAATCTTACACTTATGTGATCGTATTTCTTCAAATTGTATATGAACCTACAACAAGAATTCTGCGTTCGTTGAATACGTGTTTTATCATTTATGTCTAGGAAAGGACCATATACGAAATCTACATAGTTGAAAGTCGATAGCACCAAGATGTCGCTTAAGTTTTTTTTCATGGTAGTATTCAACAACTGCCTACTACTATAGAGAATTTTGAGAGCGAAGTACGATTTCTGGATCAATTTGTTTGTGTGTTTCGTAAATTTCAACTTATTATCGAATGTAACACCAAGATTTCGTGCTTCCGTAACAACTTCAACTTTTTTATTATTAATATTTATGTCAATATTTTTATCTACTATCACTCGTGATTTTCTATTTCCGAATATCATTACTTTAGACTTCTCTGGATTCATTTTCAGATTATTGTTTTTCGATATTTGATAAAGGTGTTCGAGTTCAGAGTTGATTTCAACCTCTACTCTAGCGTAGTCACTTGATTGGAATCTATATACCAGTTGAGTGTCATCTGCAAATGCATGAGTAAAACCACGAGTAATTGATTTTATTATGTCGGTAGTGTATATTAGGAATAATAAGGGACCAATCACCGAACCTTGCGGCACTCCTGCACAAATTGACGCACTATTAGACAGTGAGTTATTACAGCTCACCATCTGAGTACGATCTGTTAAATAATGGTTAATTAGATCTAGCGCAGAGTTACCAAAACCGTAATATCTCAATTTAG